TGTTTTTATTTATTTGCGCTTCTAACTAATTTCCATTTGCTTTGCTTCTGGTTCATTATTGGTGGTGCTAAGCGGGGCAGCTCTGGCTAGCTATCATCGTTGCTTCACAGCAGTATGGAGTGATGGGTCAGAAGTGCCCGCTATGCTCAGAGCACGCTCGAGCTGCGTTCAATTCAATTTCCATTTGATTCTCCATTATTGGGGTAATCCTATAGTAGTTTCCATTTGATTTTCCATTATCCAATATTACCCCAATATAACTCCATATAACCCTAATATTACCTTTATCCCAATATATACACAATATAACCCCTATATAACCCCTCATGTTTCCCTAAACCTTATTATTCCGGGCCCCCACTAAACCCTAAACCCTAAACCCTAAACCCCGCCTTGCATCTTCGGACTCGGCAGGCTCATGGAGCAAGGGCTGGGCGCTCTTTTTCGTGAAGGCTTCGGGGGAAGGCGGGGTGCGGGGAGTTTACCAAGATGATGGCTGCCTTCTCTGGGGATCCTGGGGATATGCACGTGGGGCATGTAGATAAAATCGAATCCCGTTTTTGCCGGGCTTAGGGCTGAGGGTTCGCAAACGAAAGGTTCCAGTGATGAGGATCTCTGTATCTGTTCCAGGAATCCAACTTTGAGAAGGGTTCTTCATGCCCCTATTACATAAAACCCTGCATATGCCATGGTAGTGCCTAGGTAGTCCCCATATACTTGGTTGTTGTTAAGGAACTTGGTAAAGAATAGGGTTTCTTTACTATGGCAACTGAATTCAAGTTCCTTTACAGCAGCCCAACACATATTACAAGGGACCCCATTCAAGGTCCTTCAACAAAATCCTTGGAATGGGTTTAGGGTTTAATGTAGACCTGTAATTAATAGCCCCCCCTCCCCTTAGTAGGGATGATAACAGCGATCCTAGTGTCGAGGCCCTTAAAAGGAGGGGCATTTCTTCTTAATCAGGGGTCCGCATTAGGGTTTCAGGATTTAGGCCTTGGAATGCTGATCCACAGCCATTGCGGCCGAAAACAGCTTGGTGGGTCAAAACCTTCGCTCGTACTCTTTGCATCCAAGGCCTGTGCCTCAGATGCCAGTGAAAAAGCTTCCAGATCTTGTAGTGTTTTCAAGGGGGTACTGTAGTTCTTCGGATTTAGGTTGCGATTACATCTTTCTTTTGGGCATAGTGTTTCATGAGTGGGTTCAGCCACCATAGAGATTACCCAGATGAAGCACGCGGTACCCCGGATGCCTGAAGCACGTACCATGCTGTACGCAGCCTACATTCATGACGATTGCCTCGTCCATGGTTGGAAGAATGTGTGCTGATCCCACAGTATTGGGGCATGCCATGGAGAAATACAGACCCCTGACCTGTCCTCCAGTTGTCAACGGCAGGATTTAGTTACTCTGACCAGTCGCCAGCGCTAGCTTGCAGTATGGTTGTTTTTTTGCAATGCGACCCTCCATAACATCCTTAATTGGGAGCCCAAAGCTCCCTTAACACTCCCTAAATATTTCTGGGTCCCAGAGCCCCTTGTTGTAACAACCCCCCATCTGGCGCCGCTGTAGTAGTTACAGAGGCCTGAGAAGTCATTTAAACAGCTATAAAAGACTTCAGAATGCTCACGTACTTCCATAGACTTAGTGAGGTTTGGGGGGTAGCTTGCCTATACAAGCCTGCATTTTTTAAACCTAAAACCACGCCGACGGCCTAAGCCCTCCAAAGCCTGTAAGCTCCCCAAACCAGACTGCTTCAACCTCAACCCGCCAACACCCCCAACCCCGAAGTATCCCCCTAACCCAAGCCCTCGTCCTATGACTTTTCTTACTGGGGGTTAGGAGGAAATAAGGCAATACTATTTGATATAATCCCGTATTCCCTTCTAACCCTAACCCTAAACCTAAACTATATTATACATACATCTAATATCCCCTTATTCCCTACCGAGCCAGTGAGCTTTGTCTCCAAGGCCATGGCAGCCTTTGTGGCAGTTTCCGGCTCAGCCCCCAACACTGCGCTGCGTGGAGCACTGCACACGGCACCCCAGGCGGGTAGGGATTAGGGATTAGGGTTTAGGGCTCAGGGTTTAGGGTTCAGGGTTCAGGGTTTAGGGTCCAGGGTTCAGGCTTCAGGGTTTAGGGTTTAGGGTTACTGGGGGTTAGTAGGGAACAAGGGAAGATATTAAGTAGGGTTTATTATACCGGGATTGTATTTCCTTTTTTCCCTGCTACACACCATTAAGGTTGGGTTTAGTGTTTCAGGGTAGTTTAGGGTTTCATCATGGGAGAACAGAAGAATACACAGGGGATCATCTTGACTCAGAAGTGGAATTAGGGGTTCCAGAAAAATGTGCTGTAACTTTTTCTCTTTTTTCTATCAAAACAGTTGATTTCAGGGTAGCATAGGATTTCAAGCCAGTTTCGGGTTTCAAGGCAGCTTTTAGGTTTTTAGGGTTTTGGGAGCGGGGTAGTTTCGAATTTAGGGAGTGTCGAGGAAGTACAGCAATCCCAGGAAAAAGTTCGGCTCTACCAGCCAACGCTTTCTATCTCATCCCTGCTATCCCCGAAATGAACCAATAGTTGATCATAATTTTGGAGTCGCTATAGACGTCTCCTAATCTTGTAATCTTGAGAAGCGAGCCTCCATAGGATCTGGCGCAGGTGCGATGAGCCCTTCATTGTTATCTCTGCAGCTTCCGCAGAATCCATATTCCATATTCTGCAAGCTCTCGTAAACCTCTTGACAGTCAGCCTGGAACAGGGACCCTTACAGATAATGGAAGAAATCCTGCATCACTGCATGCTCCTTACCTCCTGGGAGTAGCAGTGGTTACTACAGCTATCCTAAACTCTACTAAGTAGGCTTTGGGTTTAGGGTTGAGGGTTTAGGGGTACAGGAAAACTGGGGATTGCAAGGACAGATCAGGGTTAGAAGTTGCAAGGACAGATCAGGGTTAGAAGTAGGGTAGCTACAATTGGGACAATTCGCAAGTTTACTTGGTGTACGAATAGCATTTAAAAAGGTAGAGTTCTGAATGATGATCAATATTTTCCCTTGCCATCCTTATATTGTTGGATTCTGATCTACATTGCATCAAAACTATCCTAATCAAATAAGCTTCTACAGTACATTGGCCACGCACCTCCAAATGATTCAGTAACCTCTACGCTGGGCAAATTCTCATGACCCCACCCCAACTAACCTTAAATGGTGGTTTACATGGAATATGATCCCAGATATATATATATATCTCTATATATATATAGACATATATATATATATATACACATCTATGTATATATATATATATCTATATATATAATTTCAGCTAGTGAAATTTAGATAAATACCAGTCCCTGAGGTACCGGCTCCATCGGCTCCTGCAGCTTCCTTGGCAGCAACTTGGCAAGATCTTGAGCTCCAGGTAGGGAACATCCAATTTACTGGGTTGCTGTTAAGGAACTTAAATTAAGTTACCATAATGGGTATATATAGTAAATATTAGAGTTCCCCCAATATGGTAACTTATTTTATGTTCCTTAACAGCAACCCAGTTTATGGGTAGTATCTTGCAGTTTAATGCCACAAAAGGCAAATACCGTCCTAAATAGCGCCAGTGTTGTGTAGTGTGCCTGCCTAAGATAAAGCCATAGCATTTGGTCTTCAACGCATCCTTGGCTGCGAGAGTGAGGAGAGTTGGGTTTTTGGTGTTTCATGGAAGAGGACAGCTTGACTGGCACTGTTGCAGGCTGTCATGCCCATAATTGGATCATCGGGTTTGGGGCTCAAGGTATCCTCATAGGATTGACGAAGCTCGTGGTACTCAAAGTGTCAAGTGCGCAGAAGGGTTTCAAAGCCAAGTGTTCCAACATGTATGCCATGGGAGTCAATTCCTTCACATTTCTTCGCGACTGCATTTGCACTCAGCCCAAAACCTTCACTCTTAATATGTAGCCCTCCAGGGAGCCCCATCCCTAAAACGTGCAACAATTGGCGAGTCCTCAAATTTTGGATGTTGTATCAGCCCCGTAAACACTAAAATAATTTCAGTTTCCGTTTCATTTTCCATCTGATCCGCCATTATTACTGTGAGGCCCAGATTGCAAGAATCCCCAAGAATGGGCCGGCTCTTAATTGAGGAAATCTTGCATCCCGCGAATCTGTAGTTCCTAGGCTTCGGAGCACCCAGGCTGGTGACAAGTTTCCTCCATCAACACAATGGGTCTCTGACATCCTGTGGTTTGAGGCCAAGGGAGTCCTGGGTGTGGCTGCCGTTGGGGCAGCAGTGGCAGCAGGCACACGCCGCAAGCACCGCTCGGCACTGACAGGCGCGATTTGGGTTGCGGCTTAGGGGCGAGGGTCCAAGCAGAAGGCAGGGCTTATTATTCAGGCGGTCAGGATGTAGGATGATGTAGGGTTTAGAGATGGAGTACCCGGACACGACGCCGTGGTTCAAGCCTCGCCATGTAGATTAAGACACGTCTCTCTTCTTAGGCTATCTGTATTCTCAAAGCAGGAGAGATAGTCTCAGAGCTACTGCTCTAGGAAGGGCGCAACAGGATCCCTCATCAAGGCTCAGTTCTGGTTTGCTAAACGCAAGCAGCTTCCGGCTACAATCATTCTTATGCGGTGCATAAAGGTCAGCAGTCCGCCTCAAGGGCAGCACTGCCTTGAACATGCACACAAGAGCAATGCTTGTGTGAACAAATCTTGGGTTGGGTGCATGTAGGAGACCAGAGCGCAAGCAATACCTATCAAGTGTTTACTGTGAATAAGTGTGCTCAGAAGATCTCCCCTAGATCCAGAATCAGATGCCCAAATATGGCCCTGATGCTGTGTGGGTCAAACACACCCGCTTATTTGACGAGTGGCTTGAGAGCTGTGTCAATGAAGCAACACGAACGACAGCACATAGGGGTGGAGGTGTGTGCTGCTTGACTGTCTGCGGTACTCTGCCGGTCAGGGCAGACCCATCTTCTGAAAGATAAATATAAGAGTCCAGCAAACCCTAGGAGGGGTCCTCTGACATCAATTTCAAGTGCATGCAACTTTTCCCCAGCTCTTATGCAGCATACAACTAGTTCAAATCATCGCAGTATTCAACAGGTGGTGCCGCGACGGTGACCAAGCTGTCCAAGCCCCGCTCTCTGGCCGACGCAAAGGTTGTCGTGTGCGCTGGCGCGATGCTCCCGGCAGCTTGCCTTACAGGTGTAACATAAGCCAAGTGGGGATGTGCTGACTATGGCGCATCGTGACATTGGCAGGAGTTCCTCTGCTCAGCAGAAGTATTGGTTCGCACAGTCTTGCTGAGCTGTGCCTTATAACCCAGACGTTCAGGCCATTCTGACCACTGCCAGCCCCGCTGAAGTACTTCTTGTAGAGCGGCTTCTTCTTCTTCTTTTGGGGGGCAAGTATTCTGAGCCACGTTTTGGAAAGTTCTCATTTCGCAAGGAGGGCCGCAAGTTGCGTGTGGCAGTGATTGGTGGCGGTCCTGCAGGGGCCAGCACTGCTGACGCCTTGGCTCAGGTACTCCGGTGGGGCAGATTTTGCGTGGCAATTCCTCAACGAAACTCGTTCTATCATCCTGTATATGGGAGCCGTGCACTCCCCTAGCATGCCGGTTCGTGAGCAACTCCAAATCCGGGAATCCCACAGCCACAATACGAGCTTCTCAAGGTTGATGGATATTTTTCAAGCACAGCGGGGAACATATTGTTGGTTTTCGGGGGTGTCCGTGATGAGGGTGCGACATTCCAAACTTGAGCAGGGGACTGACTTTGTCTGCGCTGGACGCGGGGGCTGAGGACTTGTAGGAACTCCCACCTTACACCTGGGAGGAGGCCCCTAAAAGAAAGCATTGAATTTCATCATTCAGGTGGGCCTAAGTCCTGATCATTACTGAGGCCTAAGGCTCCCTTAGATTTCCTGAAAAACAAAATCGGAGCACATGGCAGATCTAAAGGCCCGGCATGTGTACTTGCAAGCCAGCTTTCAAAACTGTAGGTAAAACCCTCCAGCTTCAGAATTCGGAAGGCCTAATAGTGGGATGATGGAAAATGGAATGGAAAACTACTATAGTATATAGGGGTTATACGGAGATTATGGAAAATAGAATGGAACCTACTATAATAGGTCTGATTTTTTTGAAGCCTTGCCCAAGGACTATGCGCCCTATACGCCTCCCAGCCCGCACTCTGAAACCCCTGCTTGATATGCCAAAAGGACTTAGTATTTAGGTTCAGGAGGGGTAGCTGGGCTTGCTATAGGGCTTGCACGGGTTATGGACATGCTTAAGAAACCCCTGACCCTCCAACTAATCCCTTACCGCAGGAGGGCATTGAGACCTACCTCATCGAGCGCAAGCTGGACAACTGCAAGCCTTGTGGTGGAGCCATCCCTCTGTGCATGATTGACGTCTCTTGGAGGCATTTTTGGGAAAGACTATTGTCATTATTATGTAGGAGTTGAGGGTTCAAATTGGAATATGTAGGGATATGCAGGGCTTCAAATTGTAGGGCCTGCTGTTGAATATTGCGAGCCCCGACCCTAAGAAGAATCTGCAGAAGTTTGCAAGTAAAGTACTATTGTAGAGTAACACAATGCAGAAGCCTGCATAAGTCGGAATATATCAGCTACGGACTAAATTTAGGTTGGGTGGGGACGCATAGGGGACTATATAGGGTTTTTGGGGGGACCTACAAAGGGATATACTACAAAATTAGTCCAGGGCTCAAATTTATGCATATGTGTGCATATATGCATGAATAGTTGTAATAGCATAGGCGCCCCCGCCCCCCCCCCGTGCTTCATTGAGTGGCGGGGCAAACACCACGCTGAAAACGTCTGGCAGCATCAGGCGAACAGGCCATTCCACCGAAGGGCTAGGGTTCAGAGTTTGGGATTTAGGGCGTACTTGGAGGGACAGGGGGACTTAATAAGTAGGGTAATAACCCCTATAACCAACATAGTAATTATACCCCCCCATGACCCTCCAAGTAGGGTTACTAGGGCCTTCTTTTTTGCAGCAGATCACTTGCCAGCCACGCGAGCCTCGAAGCAACATCCACCATCGACTGAGAGCAGAGCTCTGCGACATAAGATTTAAAAAACAGACATAAATGAATTAAGGCCGAAGAAGGGGTCAACATCACGAAGAGGAGGCGAACACACTATTTAGGAAGGAAATCCCAGGATGGGGTGTAATAAACATTAGGGCGGTTCTGCGCAAGTGTATGGCGCTTGGAGTTGTTTGAACAATGATGGACTACAAACCCTCAAACAACCTGAGGACACTTAAAGTTACTACGCGCGCAGATGCCTGCTGCATTGCCGCCGGAAAACACCTTAGATGGGGGATACGAGTGAGCCCAACAACAGGCACGCCAGCTGCTGCAATAAGCTTGACAGATCGATCACGAAATCGTCGGGTTAGGATGCTTAAGCGGGTATGAGGCTCAAACAAACCCTTGACAATCCCAAACTCCCCTATGAAGTCAAAAAGCAATTCTTGCCACGTAATCCTAGCATCCGAAATGTTTGGCTCGTTACAAAAGTGCCAGCGGCTTTGAGACAAAAACTCCAGCAAATTGTGTAGAAATCGAGAGTTAGGATGCCTGGACCAATTGGTGTCTTGGACAGCGGAAACCGGCCCAGGCCCCCACGAGTAATCGCGTGCGAAAACTGCCCAATATGCGGGGTAGCGATGCGCAAAGACTGCCAAACACTAGGCTGAACCGGCAAAGATAGCCTTCTACTTTCAAGAAGGACCTTGTCAGCCGCAGCAACCCGGGCACCCTGACAGTCAGCTCAATCTCCTTGGCACCCACTATGTTTGAATCGAATACGTCGGACTGGCTGACACGTACAATGCCCCCCTGTTGCAGAATTTTCCTTACCTTCGTCGAAGGGAATCTGGAGGCAGTTAAGTCGTTTGACCAGGGAAGCATTGAGATGCAACTGCAAATCCAAGCCCTGGGATACTAAGCATTGTACTTGGTCAGCCACAACTCGCGAGCTGCAGCTTTGGCCAATTCATTTGCAGCTTCCTTATGTTTTGTGAACCATGGATCCTGCACAGGACAACTGCCCGACACGTGCGCTTTAATTTTAGACACGGCAACATCACCCCCGCGAGTGACGAGTGCTGCAGAAATTGCAGCCCACAAGTCAGCATTGTCCAGTTTGGCAAGTAAGGCAGGATTGAAACCATGGCGAGCTCGCCACTTAAAAGTGTTGGTTACTAGGGCCTTCTAGTCGGGGCTAAAGCACCCAGAACCAGTCATAGAAGCCTAGCACCACTAGAGATCCCCACATCCGCAGTCTTCTGCGAAAACCGAGGTCTCATAGGCTATATGTATCTATCTATATATATATATATATATGGGGGGTATATAGGGATATATAGGGTATATACAGGGATATATAGGGATACATAGGGACATACAGGGATATCTAGCAATATACGGGGGTATATGGGCGCCCCTGGAACATGGAGGCATTACAGGATTACAGGTGTTTCACCAATCTATCAATGGCATTGTGTCCGCCAAAAGTAAGCTCCACCCTCCCAGGAGTTTGGCCTTCCCAAGGACATCGTGGATCGCCAGGCCCCAAAGTAGTGAAAAGGACGTAGCGGCTTCAGGTCAAGAATCTTGAGCTTCGGGGTTCTATGGCGTAGGGAGCCATCTTTGGAGGCTTCAAACATAGTGAAAAGTTTTCAGCCACCAAAACATCAGCATCGGCACCCGTATCTCAGCAGTTACGGAAAGCATGTGTAATGGAACTTGGCCGAAAGATATGCGAGCAAAGTCGTGTTCGGGGGGTTTGCCGGGATCCACATCTTGGCGCAACTATCCCTGAAGGTGTCGGAGGGTGGTGTTCAGTCCATAACGTGCACTAAATCCAAGGGCCCAGGGCTTCAGGTGTTGCAAAGTTTCCTCCATCAGTAGTATTTTTGAGGCATTCCTCCGATTCGCAAGTCCACTCCAGCGAAAATGTCGGCACGTCGTCAAGTTACCCGGCCCATCCCGCCCCAAACCCACCACAAACCTGGGGCTGTCTCAAGACTCTCGCTATTGTGCCCTCCCTCTCTGTTTCCCTGAATCTCGGCCAGGAGCGTACATGTTGACCTAAGCCCTAACAGACAGTCCCCTCCCCAAACTACCATCGAACGAAAACGGGCCCAATGAAGACTACCTTCCGTTCAAAAGCCGGCTACACAGGGAGGATAAGCTGCTTGAATTTATACAACTCTAAGACCTTCAGCCCAGAGGTGCGCAAGATGACCATGATCTCCCCTACCAACAAGGAGGCCTAACAGTCACCCAGGTGTCTCAAAACGGAGAGTTTTCTTTGAATGAGGGTCAGTAGAGGTCTCAGCGTTTTACACCCATTCGGATCAATACAGTCTCAAATGGGCAGGAGATTCGGGGCGACCTTGATTGTGGTTGTGCGGAGTTTCTCATAGTTTGCCATTCAACTAGGCGTGCCCTGGGAATTCAGATACCGAACTGATGTGTCAGTCTGGAGAGGTTGTGGGTGTCAGGGAGGGTTAAGGAGGGCTGTTGATGAATTTGTCATGGCTCAATTTGGTTTGCGTCTGGACTTCAGGTTTCCGTCCTTTCGCGGTGAGAGCTCGTTTGGATCTGCGGATCTTACGATGTAGAGCAAGGTTTCATTATGCCCCAGAGTTCCATGCATGCTGCACTTGTTTGAAAGGCCATGCTATTGGTGGGGCGGGCATGCCTGTATTGCTGGCTCCTGCTGAGCTCAGCTAATTACATTCGGCCTTTCGACTTCTCTAGATCTAAGCTCCGCCTGTAAAGCGAACTAGAACGGTTTGCCGAGCAACTGTTGGACAATTCCGAAGAGCTAAAGCCCTGCTGCCCTAAACCCTAAACCCTAAACTCTACATCTTAAACCCCCTAAACTCTAAACCGTAAATTCAAATTCTGAAGAACTGATCTCGGCTGGAATATGTGGGTAAAAGGGGCGCTTAAAAAAGCTCTAACACCGAAACCCTCAATTCTAAACCCTAAACTCTAAGCCCTACACCCTAAAACTCTAAGCCCTACACAAAAAAATCTACACCCTTGAGTTCGTGCAGCCGGAGGTCCAGATTGGCCAGACCCTGAAGGATGACGAGTTCATCGGTATGGTGCGCCGTGAGGTGGGCCTGTCCTCCTCAAATGGGACTTCCCGCAATCCTCCTTGAACGTGTCAACTCGGGGAACCCCAAAATCCCCCCGGATAAAGTTTCAGCCTCAGCGCATACGCAGCAAGCTGGCGGCGTGGTCGATCTTAGCTTGGTAGCGGAATGGAATTTGTGAAGGTGCTTGATGACTTCCTTCGCCAGAGGGCCAAGAAGAACGGCGCCACGCTGATCAACGGCCTGTTTATGGGCATGACCATCCCACAGAACAAGGCTGGCTGAGCTTTCAGGGGGTTGCACATTTTTCTTCGCAAGCACAGTTTTCCCACTCAGGCCCCGTGAGTGTTTCGCAGAGTCACGGCCTAAACTCTAAGACGATGCAAACTCCTGCAGCTGTCGTACTACCAGCTGCTGATCAATCTTTCAGGTCCAATCAATTGTTCAGTCATTGAAACGCGCTTGCCAGCCCCCATCGTAGCAGCAAGCGCTTCGCAGAAGCCGTAAATCCTTTTGGGACAGCCATCTGGTATGTCAGGAGCCGACGGGCCCAAGTGAACAACGATTCAACATAATGGGCTGCGCCCTACACGTGATTGATTTTCGTCCTCAGGGTGAGTCGTACCTGTTGACCTACAACGACTACGCTGAGGAAGCAGGCAATGCTCGTTGCTGAGCTGCAGACTCTTGTGTTGTTCAGCTTCGGGCCACTGATGCTGGGTTCGAGCTCGAGATAATTCAGGGGATGACAATGTTGACCCTGCTACATGGTCTCAACAAGAGTCACTGCACAAGTCCTAGCAGTTGGAGTCTGGACAGCTCCACCTTGAAGCGTGGTTGCTCAGATGGCCCCTGTGTTGTCCTATCCTGGCCCCGAGACTTGTCTTGAATCTCAGGCAAGGGCGAGAAGAAGACCCTCGAAGTCGATGTGCCTTGGTATTGGAAACTGGTACGTTTCTGGGTTTGGTTGGTTGACGTGCAGAAGCAATTATCGGACGCTTTGTTCGCAGTTACTTTCGCAACACCACAAGATGCTCGCAGTGCGTGTGGCTCATTTGCAGGTCGTGGTTGGAGCTGATGGTGCTAACAGCCGAGTCGCCAAGGACATCGAGGCTGGCGACTACGAGTATGCCATCGCCTTCCAGGAGCGCATGCGCATTCCAGAGAACAAGATGGACTACTACAAGGACCGCGCGGAGATGTACGTTGGAGACGACGTCTCGCCTGACTTCTATGCATGGGTTTTCCCCAAGTGTGACCATGTCGCCGTGGGCACTGGAACCGTGATTGACAAGAAGGGCATCCAGAGGTATCAGCAGGGCATCCGTGACCGAGCGGCTGTGCGCATTGATGGGGGAGAGATTATCCGCGTCGAGGCGCACCCTATTCCAGAGCACCCCCGACCTTGGCGCGTGAAGGACAGGGCAATCCTTGTGGGTGATGCCGCTGGCTACGTGACCAAGTGCTCTGGCGAGGGCATCTACTTTGCCGCAAAGAGCGGCCGCATGTGCGCAGAGACCATTGTCAAGAAGTCAAAGAATGGAGTGCGCATGATTGACCAGGCGGACCTCATGGAACACATCCGTGAGTGGGATTCAAAGTATGGCCCTACGTACCTGGTGCTGGACTTGCTGCAGAAGGTCTTCTACACCAGCGATGCGGCCCGCGAGAGCTTCGTGGAGCTCTGTGAGGAGGAGTACGTGCAGAAGGTGACCTTCGACTCTTACCTGTACAAGACGGTCCAGGGCAACGACCCTATGGGTGATCTCAAGCTGGGCTGGAAGACTCTCAGCTCTCTGTACAAAAACAACAACTCGGAGCCTGAGCCCATGCGAACCCTTGCATGAGTGCACTCCGGCTGCTATCGGCTGCAATGCCATATTTTTTTGAAGAATTGTAAGAGGAAGGAAGCCCTGAGAGCAATTCAAGCAACGCAGCATCCTGCTTTGTGTCTAAGAGCTATTGTGCGGTTTGCAGGTTCATGAGATGAGCTTCCTTGCCTCAGATCCTCCCTGCTCCTTCACCCAGTCCCAGGTTGTCCACAGCTGCGTAGCTACCCTGGGAACTGCGTGTTGGATCCTCCCGACTGGCCACTGGCCGGCCTGTGCCGGCCTCTGGCACTGTGCCACCTGCCACCCCAAACTCAGCGAAGGAAGCCCCGAGACACCAAGTACACAGATCACCCGTGTTGGTACAAGCACGTGTCCGCACGGCAGCTGCAATTTAAAAGGTTGTTTTCCATGCATGTCCTCGTATCAGGCTTCCTTGCTGTGGTTTGCCCAGCAGTGTTTTTGTCACGTAAGTAGCCATGGTGGGAGGAGACGCCCTATGTTCGGCTGGGTGTGTCTGGTTTTGCACCGCCCACCGCGGTTCAGCTTTACTACCACTAACAAGCGAGTTCCCTCGCAGACCTGTCGCGTCGTGGTTTAAGGAAAAAGTAAGTTGCTTCTTCTCAGAGAGGCCTTGCCTGCTTGCAATCCTGCTTCTGTGGCTCCACCAGCGCCATCACCATCACCACTAGCAGCTACTCTCATTATCTTTGCCAAGCATGCAGTTGCTGACTAGCCAACCTACTTGATGTTGATTGCGCAGGTGAGACTTCTGGGCGCCAGGCCCGCACATTGTGATGCTGCGATTCATTGGGACATTTTGTCGGGATCCGATTGGAATATCGAAGGGGCTGTACAGGGATATACAGCAGACATACAGTATTATGCATAACTACAGCTTGAACAGGGTTCAGGGATACTTAGGGCTGACAATCCAAACTGGAGGCCTTTTGTGGATACCTTCCAGACGGCAGCAGAACCTTTTGAGTACTGGCAAAGGACCCATATTCCCATACTGACAGCAATGGTGGAATCCTACACGCAATATATTGGGAGTCTCTCGAAGGAGCATTTTAGGATCCTTACACAAACGGCTGTTTACTGTGTTGGGTGAGGGTGAGGGGCCTGAGTTGTGAGAAGTGCCCACAGGTAGTAAGCCGGCATGAAGTCACTGGCTCGCATGTCATGTTTCTGACTCTGATGTGCCCAATCTAGCACAGTAGAGAGATTTGCACCAGCCTCATAATACCCCAATCCCTACATATCTTTCCGCTGTTTAGGTAGCGCCGAGCAGACGACAGTAAAGACTCCCTCGCCAGCAGCATCACCATAGGATAAGATGGTAATTCAGTGTACAAGATCTATGGGACTATTGTTTCTTCTGGGTTGCTGCTAAGGAACTTAAATTAAGTTACCATAATGGGTATATATAGTAAATAAGAGGGTTTCCCCAATATAGTAACTTAAATTAAGTTCCTTAACAGCAACCCAGTTGTTTCTTTCGGACGAGATGGCTCAGTTGCCAGGTTCTCCTTTGCAGGGTCTATGGCGTCTTTGGTGGTCGCCAGGCAAATTTGTGGCGCTGTACCCTAAACCCTAAACCCTAAACCCTAAACCCTAAACCGTAGGTTAACCTTTGGGGTGGCAGGACTTTTGGCTCACTGGGATTCGTTGGGAATATGAATTAGGGAATATAGTATACAATGGCTGTATAGGGGTAATGGAAAAGAAAATGGAAACTATTTATATTGGGGCTTATAGTAGGAATAAGGGAACATAGTATACAGGGGCTATCACAGGGATTATATTCCCTTATCACCTACTAAGAACCAGTAAGCTCAGTTCTGTGGCAGCTATGAGCAAAGGTTGAAGGATGTGGAAGTTGGCGGAGCCCTGCGTTGCATTATGATGTTACTTCAGACGAAGGCCCGGAAGGTGTCCCCTAGACCCTGTAGGGTTTAGGGTTTAGGGTAGTTTCACCAAAAAGGGGTACCTTTTCAGGGTCCACATAATAAGGATTATGGTATTTTGAAGTCTACATGTGGGTCCCCTTGTTTTAGGAAAGCACCATATAACCCATTATTATAGTAGTTTCCATTTTCTTTTCCATTGTCCCCATATAAGTCCAATATTGCCCCTAATATTACCCCAAAGGGTACCCATATAAAGACCCACTCTCAAACCTATGTGAGACAGAGGAATCCCTAGAAAACAGCCCGGTAGAGATGGATTTCCATGTCACTTTGCAGGTGACCCACTCACTTCGTTGTTGGCTTCAGCATGCCAAGCTGAGTTAGGAGACATAGGGGTTTCCCAAAATTGGGGGTATCTTATTGGGGGGTCCCCATAATACGGATTCTAGTATTTTGGGGTCTATATATGGGGCCCCCTTATTTGGGGAAACTACCACATACAAAGAGTAAGCCTCAATGCATGCCAGAGAGCATTGTATGAGCCCTGGTTGCCCAGCTGGCTTCATGCGCAGATGAGCCATAGGATAGTTTATGGGGATCTCACAAGCTGGCTGATTCGGTGTCTTGCGCCCTGTTTGAGAGCTTCTGTCATGAAGTCGATGAAGATGAGATGAAGGACACGCAGCAGCAAAGTAAATATGGGGAGGGCCAACAAGACAACAACGGGTGGTTCTGTGGTTGCCATGACTTGGGTGCCATTGTGTGCCAGGGGGACCTTCGTTCCTGCGATTGTGCAGTATGCGCAGATGCCCTGGCCAGAGCATAAAGTATAACATTTGCAGCTTCTGCTTGCTACGTGGCTACGCTGAAGCTGTATTCTAGTCCTGCAATGGCCCTCTAGGGGTAAGGTTTTGTTGCTTGTTTGCGTATGTCCGTCGAGCGGTCTTCAGGAACCCTCTTTTAGTATTGTCGAAGCCACCTTAGCTTGTTTGAAGGCTCTGACCATTGCTTTGATGGATACTTTTTGAGGAGTGCGGGAAAGTTGTGTCATCCATGTAGCTTCACGGGGAACAAGTTGCTAAATCGCATTTCCAGAGCCTTCTGTTGTGCATGCAGCGAGCGCAAGTGCCAGTGACTTGAACCCGGAAGTATCTCTTTCTGCTCCCCCAGCACAGTGAGATGTCGAGAACTGCTACGTGTGTCACGAGGCAAGGGCTTACTGCAATCTGCCCAAACTCCAGGACATCAGCCTCAGTATTGTTGATGGAGGAAATGCCCTCCTACCCTAATTGCCCCGATTCGGGGGATTCCAGAGTCGCTCCATCAACATTAGGTCCATGTTTTGATATACAAGCATCCCAGTGCTTTTCTGAGGCTCAGGGCACACCCGTGAGGTTTGTAAGCCGCCGCAGTGGGAAGCACAGCGACAGGTGTCGGGAAGTTTGGAGGTTTCAGGAAGTTGGGAGTTTGTCTAGGTGGGAAGCAGCCAAGTTAACAGCAAGCTATGAACAGAACATATCCCCTGTTTCCTTAGATTTCGGCAGGCTCTAAATGGGGGCTTGGCTTTCATTGTGCTTCATTCTAGGGTACATGAGGCGGTGCAGAATTCATTGTCCAGAGTGAGAATGCCAGGTTGAGACCGCAGCCATACATCTTTACTTCAAACTCACGAGCGGGTTGCAGCAGCGTGACCGCGTTAGATGGCCGGAGAGGATTTCATCCATCAACAATACGCCTGGCTTATGCAGGCAGTTGACTTGGGGGCTTCGCAAATTTAGCGTATTGTTTTTCAAATAGCCCCGCAGGCAGCTAGAATTGTGTGAAAATCCAGGGGATCGATTGCCTCTAACCGGGCAAATCCGACTTGGAATCTTGAGTGGACTTGCTAGAGCCTCACCGGCTTTGGCAGCTTGCAGGTAAGTTTTCAGGGCTTACGTAGTACCTTCCGAAAATGGGGCTACTTTCCTTTGGGTGAAAACGCGGTTGCCATAGTTACTCACGAAGCTTGGGAAACCCCGTATGGGAGTTTCCATAAACAGGGAACCTCAATGTACGCGCCGAAAAGCTATAACAAGGACCCTCGAGGGATTCCTAATGTTCGGAAACCTCCATATTCAAACTGGACATCCTTGACCTAAAGTTCCTGCCATGGTCAGTTCGCTGGGATGGAACGAAGAGACGACTGAGATCTCGCTGAAGCGTTTATAGGGATCGTAATGATGGAAGCCTATATAGGGGTTGCATAGGGTTCAGGGTTGCACTGTCGTTATGAAGAACCAAGTGGACAATGAAATGGAATCTAGGGTATATGTGGATTTTACAAGTTACGGAATATTGGTATATCAGCAAATCATAGAGTTTCCTTGTTTCGGTGACTTGATTAAAGCAACCCAGTTCATGTCATCATTGCATTGCTTGGCTCCCTGCGCCAGCTCTGAAGAGTCAGAGCCGCACCAACATGGCCATGCACTGTTGCAGAGGGACGCCAACACCAAGGCCTGCATGACATCGTGTCAAGGAGAGACTCTGGGCGGTTCGATATGGTTGCGGTCGTAAACATTCAGGAAAACATGATACGTGAAGCCTCGTTACGTCCAGCTGCCGAGACCCAACAATTTACTGGCTGCTGTTTGGTAACCATCACTCCTTCCGGCATCTACAGCAGTCTGGCTGCCTTCATCGTCCGGAAGAGGATGATCTATATCCATATGAGCCATAGTCTAAACTCCTTAAAGGGTTTTTTTTCGGGGATTATACAGGGGAGTATTATAGGGTTTTGAGGGGGATAGAAGGAGATTAGACTATAGCAAAGCCAAGCCATGGCCACTGCCTTCCTGGCGGGAGGGTTCCGCTCCGAGGGCCATGGCCCTCACATGGCTGCCCCTAGAACAAGGCGCAATGTGCACGGAGAAGCTTGAGACGGCTGAGAAATGGTTGATTTCTCATGTGTAATGTCAGTTGTATGAATCTGAAGCATGTCTCAAAGCCTGGAACGAGAGCCTCCAGCCTTCAGCTTGTGGAGGGAACTGCTTGCAAGGTGGTAGTCAGGGTCAAAATGCAGACTAGCGTGACTAGCGCTGTGCCCTCGTATCTCGAAATAGTGTC